TATATATATATATATATATATATATATATATATATATAATAGGCGTGAAGAAATGGTCTAGGAACGTGAGACGTAGCTGTACTATACAATTTTATATATATATATATATATATGTATATAATATATACATATATATATATATAATCTCTATCTCTACCACCCCTTTCTGTTTTATCTCTATCTCTCTCCCTTTTTTTTTTTCTTTCTAGCCATTGTGTAAAGTTTTTCCTAAACGGGTCAATGTATCTCTGAGGTTAATATTAAGGTGATGTATTTTCGTTCAGTTTATGCAAGAAGCTGTAGTTACAGCTTCCTGGTTTATGTTAACAAGAGTCTTAAGAACCGTATAGATTGGATCCAGCTATAAGGTTTGAATGGGGATATTAGACAGAGAGAATAAAAGAAAAGAGGGACGGTAGCTGATAAGGGTTTTATCATACACATCATCCTAATGATTATCATCCCCATCCTCTTTTTCTTCATCTTTGGATCGCTGCCTTCATTCGTATTACCTCTCTTATTAATAATAATAATAATAGTCGGTTCTTGTATAGCGCTCATGCATGTCTGTCAGACTTGACACTCCTGGCGCTCCCGATTTTTAACGAATTGATACTAAACTAATGTTTGAAATTGCATGCCTGAATATACAATCATTTTGAACTTGAATTTAAAACGGAGAGCCTTGTGTTTTCAAACTCTTTATTGTGTGTGAGTGTGAATGAACGTGGTGAATAACCCAATCCTAAAGGAGGTGATGATTGAACCTGTCAAGGGGTACTATGAAGGGGCAACTAAATATAGGACCATAATTGAACAGGTGCTGGGACAACACATGACCCACAGGAAGGGGGTAAATATACACCCATTAAAGGGTAAAATATAATTAACATCATAATGAAAATTAGCACAGGTCACATAAGTTCAACGGCTTTCCAAAGGAATACCTTTAATTAAAATAATGTGGCTAGTACGTCACAAACTTATTATATATAAACGTTCTTACCATTGCCATGAGTTAATAACTTTGACTTTTTATGTTAGGTAAATATAAGATTGTTTACAAAGCATTGAATGGTCAAGCCCCAAATTTTTTGCCTTTATTAATATCTTATAAATTATTTTACTATACACATGAATTACATGAAATACACAGGACAAGCTGTGTCTCAAGCTACCTCACTAACACAAAAGTAACTCTTAGAGATTGCACGTTTTGTGTTCATCACAACGTAGTATTTTATATGTATACAGTAGCTGTGCTGTGTAATTCAGTTATTAGTATTATCACTATTAAAGATAAAGTGTCAAGTTACGTAAGAGCTTTAAGGTGTCTTTTACCTATAACACTACCACGTTAATAAACAGAATTACAGACGTTGAGTTTTCGCATAACAAGCTATACAAGTACTTGAATTATAACAATAATTTGGATCATTATGATACTGAACGCAGACTAGAATTATGAAAACTTTACGAATTGTGTTAGCACAGTAAGTTTCCTCACTGAATTATAAAGAATTGTGATAGTAATTATCCTTATTTTCTTTGCCCAGTCAATGCCATGGTAAAAACCTCAGGGACCTGTTTATTGAGTCACCACACATGTTAAATGTTGTCATAATTTCATTTTCCGGCTTTAAGTTTTCACAGTTTTTTCTGTTCACACGTTTCAATTTCGTTTTACTGCCTTAAATATATACGCTTATATTGATAATGATACCATTATTAAGGCAGTTTCTGTAAAACATCGTCATTAATGATAAAAGGGCATTCTCATTAGAAAAAGAAAAGACAAAGATCAATTTCATAAATGAGTTTTGGAAGAGAAATGCTGTGGTTAAAGTTTACTGCCCTTGTAGCCTTATGGCCGCAGGATAATTCATGATTGTCATTTGTTGTATTATTAAATTTTGTATGGTCCTTTTTCCGTTAGACTAAACACCATATACTCCAGCTGAAATCGTGTTTCATTTACATGTTGAAAGCAATGTTATATTGTTTATTACTTTGTAATTAATATTACTCAAAAAGTAATTTCATTCCTTTTACGATCGTTTTGCTATTGTCTGTTAATCCAATCCTTCAACTCCTTAATAGGTGCACGTCATCGTAACCTAATCTGAAATGTTTCCTAATTGAGTTACTATTTTAGGAGAGACTTGAGCGTTAGTTCGTAGACACTATTCTATAATTACGAGGTAATGAGAAACCCGTTTGATCCATGTTCTTCAATGTCTGCTAATCTTTTCAAGATACTATTACATAGTGTTCGCAATAAGCTGTCTGGGAGCTTAATCACTCCGTAAGCAATACTCTTTTATCTTTCAAAGGGAAGCGATAGGTATTGATGATGCACTAACATGATTAGCTGAAGTATTAGTCACGTATTACTTGTAGCCGTCATACTGATATTATCATAATCATAGAAGAACATGATATAGTCTAATTATTTGTCATGCCTATATAGGATCGTACCAAAAGACGGAACATTAAAAGCAACAAAAGAATATAAAATAATATTCGAGTAAACGATCGGAAGAGTTAATGTGGTTAAAAATATAACACACCGTCATAGCTCTTTTCAAACATTGATTTCGCTAACAAATGTAGAAGTTCTAACAACATTAAAGCTACTTATATGAGGACAGGTTTCGAGACATCCTTGATGGGACGGTGACGTTAAAACTGTTACTAGTAAGTTTCTATAATGTAACCCACCTCGGACGGAAAGATACTCTATATCCAAATTAAAGCCCCACTGCACTAACTACTTGCGTCCTCTATATAGCAAACAATGCCTAATCGGTGACCATTGGTCCCCCATGGTCCCTTTTTCTTATGTTAATTGAGAACTGATTTGATGAGATAACCACCTGTCAGTCACCATGCAGGGAGGTCTAATCCCTCCTGGCCAAACTAGTGCAGATAGGCTTTTGGTTTAAATTAGAGCGATGGCTTGGTTTAGCCGTATTATTTCTTACAGTCACAATTTATTTTAAGCTACATGTTGAGATTTTAAATCTATTTTTTATTTATTAATGAAAATAAATTACTAGAAAATTTTGCTTAGATATTGCAAAATGAGCAAGCAAAAAAAATATAGGAAGTAATAATTTAGCTTTGTTCGCCCTTTCAATTTCGTACATATTTTTAAAGAAATTTGTAACAAAAAAGAATGCCAAGTTTAGTATAGCGGTAATAATTATAATCAACAAGGATGTAATTATAACTTCAACCTTATGCTTCTCCATTATTTAATTTGTTTAATGGGATTCTAGGGCGTCAGGGGGACTTGTAAATGAAATATAATTTCAAATTTCACATAAATAACCTTTTCCATTTAATGTGAAGAAAAACGCATTATTCAAACATGTAAAAAATATAGTTTTTCAAAGAACTTTTTACTTTGAATTAACTTGATTTGTGTCGACCTGATACAGTGTACATGGAAAGGCACGTGAAAATCACAGTTCCATACCAAAATAAAATTAAGAAATACCAGGATATGACGTCAATGGGTTTTTAGATTATCATCCCATATACATAGTCAAGAGATTATGATAACAATAATAGATCACATTTATAATGCGCATAATACTTTGTTTTAGGCGCAGTACATTTTATTTAGATTATCAATAATGCGAAGGATTTTTGTTTGTGTTGGATGACCTACATGGCAAACCGTTCAATATAAGCGATCTCGTGGGATACAAATCAGCTAATACCAGATTATAATCATAGCAGATTTACTAGAAAGAGAACAAAGACTCTAATCATGTTATAATTCCATAGCAACTTACTTGACTTGTGCCTAGTCTAGTCTAGTTACTTGTTGGTGTGTGTAAATCTAGCAGTAATCTTCATTTGACATTCTCACACAGATGAAGGAAGTGGTATCCACGGTATGAATTATGCCTTGAAACATTGGCAGCCCGGCTTAAGGAAGCTCACCTTCGAAGTGCATGATTCATATACTCTGCACATGATCGGAGCATCATTGTTATTATTTTCATCATTTTCATCATCATTATCGTTATCACTAATGTAATCATTTATTTACAATGAAAACAACGGTTGACTTATTAGTATAAATTCACGTTTGTTGATAACTTTATTTACAAGCATTTAGAACAGTAAGTACAAAAATATAGAATTCTTAACATTTCAAATAATCAGTTATTTCATGAGTGAGATGAGAAGCACTTTTCATGTCATCAGGTCACGTTCAATGCTTGATGCATTATAAACCAACACATTACATCATACAGTTCACATGCTTGATAATATTTATCAATCTACAATGCAGCATGTCAATTTAATAAATGTATGAACATTACTCTCTTAAAATATTGGGTAAAATTTGCCCAGCAAGATGGTAATTATGTGTCCGACCAACTTTGGGTATTATTTATTTTCCCAACTTGGGTAAGTATCGTACATTTAGTGTCTAAAATTTAAAGATGGGTCAGTAATAAAGTTGGATTTAAAAATGCCCGAGGTTCGTTGGATACAATACATACCCTCGTGACTAATTTATACCCAGCATTTTCAAGAGTCTATGAACTGATAAATTGTTTATAAAAAGATCATTATTGTATCAATTTTCAAGTGGTTTTGCATACTTTTTGTTTGTCATATAATCATGATGATTATATTAATACATGACTATTTACACTACGTAAAGCAATTTCCGAAATTCACAAAGAAAATAATTGAGAGACCTGACTCCTGATCCTTTGAACGAAAGGATATGTCGAGGTGAGATGTTCGATTTTGTGTCCAATCGGTGAATCCAAAGGTTTGACCTTTTTACCTTGACACTGTGGAGGCGCGATAGCTCAGTTGGTAGAGCAGTGGTCTCGTAATCCGGTGACCCGTGTTCGAAACCAAGTCGATGCTAGTGCCCTTTGGTAAGGCATTAATCCTCATTACCAGGTCCCTCGGAGAGGACCTAAAACCGTCGGTCTTCTGGTTGCTTACTAACAAGCATTTATTGCTTTTATAGCTGTCAGGAAAAATACCACCATTATCATCAATATCATCATGGCATATAACATTTCAAAAATAGCTCTCAACATAACTATCGTTCCGAAAGATATGAAAAAATAGATGTTCAGAATCACTTGATGATTTGATGCAGAGTTAGAAGAGATTTGGAATCAATGTATCGTGGCTTTTAGGGTCTCTGACTAAAAGTACGGTTAATAACGATAGTGCGATATGTAGTGTGATTGTAAGACTTTACAATCAAACAATTTTCTCTCATAAAACTTCAGCATTTCTAAAATCGTTATTCATCCAACGATAATTTTTGAAATTCTTCATTTCTATTTTTCGCAGTACTCGCCTCATCCTGAGGTAACTAATGTTGCCATGGTAACATGCCTACGTCATTGCTTGTCCTACAGCCATATTAATCATCGATGTCATCTTTCAAACACGGTAACATATAAGATATCCTATGTTCTATCGAATGAAAGGCTAGTCACCCTGTTGCAATCGCAGATGTAGAATAGTCAATAAACGATCTGCGAATGAATACTTCTATTGCCTTACCAACTGGCTAGTGCATATTCGTTTTCAAAATAACAAATTTTGGCAGAAAACCATCGATGGTGACCATGTTGAAACGCTATCAAAGCGATATGTGATTTAAAGACTCGTAATAATGAGGTCATCATGCAGACTGCGCCTGTGTTATATCATCATAATCTGGAGGAGGTCCGTCGCAAGATATAGTCATAGATAGTCCAGTATTCAATCTCAATGGCCTGCCATGCTCTGGTGCAAGGTTTGAACCCGATGATGGTCCAGATGTTGTCCCATTACTGCTGAAGAAAAAAAGAATACAGAATACCGTTTACAATCATTTAGAAATGCATGTTCACAAAGCAATACATGGTCATATGGGATGCTCGGGCAATATCTCACATTCAATTAAATTTCAATTCAGTCCAAAGTAACATTTATTTTCTCCCTTCCCCCCCCCCCCCCCATATCAAACAGTTCAGTAATAAATGTGTACATACGAAATAGCATAATCAGTCTGGGAAAACATTTTATGGGCTTAGAGGAATGCTCACAATAAAATCTTAGTCTAATCTTTATAAGATTTAAAAAATACCAGGGTAAAAAGAAAAGCTATATGAGAATAAATAATACAATTCAACTAGTCATTCTGAAAGTTAAATTCAGGATAAGATATGTGAACAAATATGGTTCAGAAGAATGATATTAAAGTGTGGTTTCTTGTTTCTTTCATTGCTTTTATAACATATTTTTTCCTTTATATGTATTTCTGATTACGCATAATGCAATTTAAAAAAAATTCTACGTGAATTTTAACCAACACATAAAACTTTGCTTCATGTCACTCATTTTATGTAAAAAATGAATGCAAGCTACAAAGACCACTTTCTTGACTTTCAGAAAATATTGTTTCAAAATGTCTCCTTCTTCTATTATCTGATGATGGTGTTAATGTTATGTTTGGTATTAATCATAGAATATGAACCTGGACATGAGAAATTAAAGGAACACAATTCCCAAAATAGCAACCAACTATTGGCGGTCGGAAGGATATGGGATATAAAAAACCGCTTTTCCTCCATACTCAATTTAGGCATACGTCAGTCATCACCTATGGTCTATCTTTGCTCTTCTCTCTCTCTCTCTTTCTCTCTCTCTCTCTTTCTCTCCCCGCCCCCTCTCTCTTCCCCCTCATTCTCCCCATCTCTCTCTCCGGCCCCCTCTCCTCTCTGCTCCCCTCCCCCGGGAGCGATGTCAAGATGGGGACCCCGAATGCCCTGGATCTGGGAAGCTTCCTGAATCTAATTCAGGCTGACATCCCTGCTCTAAACATAGTCGGCTCATGTCTGAGTAGGGTAAGTATAACCGTTCATGGTATAACATCGATGCATGGGGTAAAGATAGAACACACAGGTCAAAGAGAGGTCTAACTATGACTCCAAACTTGATATTCATCATCTAACATCGGCTCTCCCATTGCCTCTTCCTCTTCCTCTTCTCCAAATGTATCATAAAAATGTGTTCAAAATTACTATACTCGACATGCAAGATCCTCAGTATTAACGTATAATATTATAGTTGGGAGGAAATGAACAAAACGAGTCAGGGTACTCATAGACCTTCATATTCCATCATGATTTAAGTATGTAATTGACGTCCAATTATCAATATATTTAGGCTTCGGGAACTAATAAGCATCATGTAAAGGAACATAACATACAAGAATGGAGATCCTGATTGTGTCTCTCGTTTCAATTATTTGTATAGTATACAACACCTCCTGGACAATCATCCCCAGAAAGACCCCCCCCCCCCCAGAAAATTATCCCCAAGGACAACCACCCCTATATAAGGACGATTACCCCCCGGAAAATTACCGCTCATGGATAAGTCCTATATAGGGGATAATTGTCCATGGGGGTAATTGGTCAAGGGGGTCATTTCCCGGGGGTAATTGTCTTTGGGGGCTGGTTATCCTCAGGGGGTCATTTTTGGGGGGTGGTTTTAGTCCTTGGGGGTAGTTTTTTGGGGAGTAATTTTCCGGGGTGATCGTTCAGGGGGTTAATGTCCTGATACGCATGTATGCCATTGTTTGCCACAAGTTCTTTCGACACCAGATTCTAAAACACTGTAGCAGAAGATGTTTTAGCCTTGTAAAGAATTATTGTTGATTGTTTCTTGTTAAGAAATGGAAACTGAAAACAACTGCTATCATATTGAACTGAACTTTTACTGGCTAAGGGGTGCAATGTATTTGTATTTAATGGCTAGAAATTCATACTTGGAAATACGTCAAGAAATAGCTGAAATACTTTGACCAAAAGTAGTTTCATCTGATACCCAATTCTGCGTGAAATGCATGTGACTTCCATTCAATATTATTCGATTTACTGTTAGGTTTTAAAAAGCTCACAATATACACAGTTTGTACTACATAACCAACCTCTCAACAACAAAACGTGCAGAATGTTATCCCGTGACCAGTATTAATCTTTACCTTTAATGAATGGACACTAAAAATGAGCATTTTCAGTCGAGGGTTATGTAGATTATGTGAATCTTGTTAAAACAAGGTTTGAAATGATTGAACCTAAAGTTTTTTGTTCAATCTTGCGTGTCAATAGAGCACTTTATATGACAATATGGCTTTCTTTCTTCATTAAAGAATGGAAACTGAAATAACCAATTTCATTTGAACAGAGTGTTTACTGTTTTCTGGGAAAGGGGTTACATCTGGAAAACGTCTTAAGGTTGTTTTTAATAAATAAATCCATCTTTAAAAGAAGGTCCTAATTAACTATTCATAATGAAATTCTTTTAATAAATTTTAATCATTGTTTTTTTTCTCAAATCAAAAGAAATTATTTGAATTTGAATAAGATGTGTTAACCACAATTGTACGAGGGGTAATTTTCAAGGGTTTGGGGGGTAATTGTCTTCGGGTGGTCATTGTCCGAGAGGGTAATTACTCTCGGGGGGGGGGGGGTCGTGGTCGTCCCCGGGGGATAATTGTCCGGGGTCGATTGTCCTGATACGTGTATTCATACATGATTCCAATTCATGTTCTTAGCGTGTTTCAAGGGGATTACTAAGTTGACTTAGAAATATTATATCTTGATGAAAATATTTGTTTACTAATTGTCGTTTACTAATCTGCTTAATCTGCTTTTCCAACGCAAGCACGCTTAAGCCAGAAAAGAATGTTTTTAATCTCACCGCTTTACAGGAGCTGAGACGAGGATTTATAACCCCTTACTTATATCTGTCACCAAATTTACGAGAGGTAATTGAGGGCTTAGAGTCATCATTAATTTGCAAAGTCATTACATTTCCCGAAATTGTCCAACTAAAAACTTCTTTCTGTGACTACATAGAATTTCTGATTTGATTACAAACAGCTTTCCAAACAATATTTCAATCTGCATTTTTTGAAGAGAAAAAAAGGAACAAGCGTAATGACCTGTACACACTGCTTCATAGATAAGTATACACAAAGCATTGTATATAAAAGTTTCTCTGATTATGATTATTATGTAATGACAGCCGAATCTCCTGTCACACATCGTACAAATTTGCCAAATGTAAATTAACATGACTTTATTAAAACACCCAGTCACGCACTTTCATTTGATGATATAGATCATGCACATTATGTCGATATAAACACTTTGTATGGCCTACATAATGATGGGTCAGAGGGGGTGTAGAAGTCCATATTTAGTTAATAGATATATATTGTTTCTGTAGCTTTCTATTATTCACAGAGTGTGGTAGTATGGTCTCTAGAGACAATAAAGCGAAAAATAATATCAAAGTTATAACAGTGATATAAAAAGGGAAATGTTCGAAAGCGAAAATAAATGTTTCCTGTTGTCACGTTTGTTATAATAATTATAAAGCGCTTACCACCGAGGTCCCTAAGAGCGTTATGAGCTGGTTGACCTTCATCACTAATGTCATGTCAATAAGATTCCTATAAACTCTCTCACAATCACTAAACCAGTCATTATCATGTGCAAAATATATTAATTTGCTAAATGTAAACCCAGGGGCCGATCTAGGGGGAGGGTAGGGGGCTTGTTCTGACCACAAAAAAGTATAACATTTTATTTTTATTTTTTTAATGTCGGGGGCAAATGATTCTTTTTTTTGGTAGTTTTTCAACCCCCCCCCCTTCCCCACTGAGCGAAATATTTGTCGGCACGACTTTCAAATTTTGCCGCCCCCCCCCCCCTTTTGGAAAATCCTGGATCCGCCACTGGGTCACCCCCCCCCCCCCCCCTTAGCAAAAAGCTAGATCCGCCCCTGAAACCGGAAGTAATTCAATTAAATGAATTGAGGGGGCGAGGAGAAGGTCAAGGCAGGTTTTATCTCTCTCTGTCCGTCGTTACCTCGTTTCCTAGTCATTGGGTTAATTTAATTAACAAAAATAACCTGATCCGAGTATGACGGTTATTGATACATGTATACTGAACTAAACTTTATATTGTGAGCTGTATAGTTGGGACACATTTTGGATGACGTACATTAGAGAAGTCATTCTATGAAAAACTTTGTGGCTTCTTTTTCTCCCAAAATAATTTCTATTTCCCCCGTCTCTATCTCTCTCTCACTATATCCCCCCTCTCTCTCTCTCTCTCTCTCTCGCTCTCTCTCTCTCTCTCTTTCTCTCTCCAATCTTCATGTGACTTCCATTTTTAGGCGGAACATATCTATTTATGTTTTACCAATTTTGTTATTTTTATGAATGACATTTTTTTTTAAATTCTTAACTTCAATTTTGTTTCATGTGTTAGAAAATCAATTAGAGATGGGTAGTGCATTGTGTCAAGTATGAATCCCTTTTGAATAGAAATAATATAGGTCTACTTTACACAGTGAATATCACTGTCGATCATAATATACTTGACCTAAAAATCGTTTCAATTATTTTAATGGATTTTTGTTTACTGACCGATGATGTATAAATTCTACATCTCGAGTCAAGATAAGCCCTTTTCCTTCCTACCCTGTTCTTGGTGAATCCATCATGAATTATAATGGACGATGGGTAATAAAATGGTTATTATCCCCTGATTTAAATGCTCGCCGCCCCTCCCCCGAATCGATGCCCCTGCGACGGAGCAAGCAACACAAACGGGTTAAAATTTAACTATTTTGTCTCTCATTCACTCTCCAATGCACATCTACAGAAACACTTTGTATCCAAAGGATCAACATACCAGAAACCATCTCTAGCAGAATGAATAAAGGTCTAATCCATAAGCTTCGCAGGGATCTGGACATTTTACGGTTTTCTAACATTCCACGCCCCCTTCCCCCCCCCCCCCCCCAAGTTCAGATTCAATATTATACATCGTAAGAAATAAGGCTCTATCGAACTTATAGCTCTAACTTTTACGCCGCAAACAGGAGCCATAATTATAGGGTAGACCCTAAATGTTCTGAGTTTGCAAAGCCAAACAAGCATGAGACCTGTCATCATTTACAGTATTGTTACTTCACGAAATCAATATTGGAAACACAAATTACGAATGGGTTTCCAGGTAGCCCTTTCCAGACTTTGCTCTGAAACTATTTATTATGAATACTTTATTATGTGGGCATGTTTCTAGCATGTCACCATACAATTCTTGGGCCTAAAAAAATAACGTTATAAAATACTTCTTTCAACCTCGTCGCTATAATGACCAAAAGGCCGTCCATACAAATACAATTTTGATAATGAGAGACATGTTCAGTCCCGTTAAAATCTGTAATAATGGTTTAAGCCTCTAAACTGCTTCAAACCTACTCAATTGATTCGCAGAAGGTCACATTATATGTATACGAATAAATACAGTATAATATACACAATGAACTTAGCTTTCATCACAAATAAAAACGTTTGGCCTACATTCATCATCACTCAAAGATTATTCATGAAAGATTATAATCTTAATATGTCAGTTCAGGCGCGTACGCAGGTCTTGGGGGTTAAACTTTGGTATATGTATGTAAACCCCCCTAAAAATCCCTAAAAACCCACCCCCCCCCCTTTGGATTTTTTTTTTTTTTAATTATTTAAAAAAAAATTACCCCATGGCTGACCTAAGAAAGGTGACCTTACCCCCCCCCAACGGAGCAAAATGTCAAATTTTCAAATTCGAGACCAAAAAGTGTCCTCTTACCCCCCCCCCCCCCCCCCCCCCCCCTTGAAACATCCTGCGTACGCCACTGTGCCAGTTCGAGAACAAGGATGATTTATTTCTTTCCACTTCTCAGTACTACTAATCACACAGCATTGCCTACGCTCAATACATGTGAAGGCTGGTGGGTTTACAGTCGAGAACGTACCTTTGAGAACCATTAGCCCATAAACCGGTGTGAGGATCGTAACCGGTATAATCCACAGTAGTAAAGTGATGCCGACATTCGTACTCCGGGGGCGGTACTTCTATGCTCATAGCAGTTGATAAAGCAATTGTTGACCCTCTCCGTCTACCTCTACCTCTAGGACGGGACCCCCGGTATTGACAGTACACATAACAGGTGGGCACACCAACAACCCACGGATAGATTATTCCAACAATTAACAAATATCCGCGATTATGCAAGTAATACCCGACGAAAATCATTGCCAATCCGGCTAGTACAATCAAACTGATGAATGATATTAAAAAGTATCCTTGACGCTGTCGTTTGAAACAAGAACGTGGAGCGGTTTGCGGATCACAATTCGTATTATCCGCGGTAGCCTCGGTTCGCCCGCTAGCGAAGAAAATCGGATAGCAGGTTGCCGTTCGACTAAAGTCGGATAGAGAGCCTTCGACTGTACTTGCGTCATCTGTCTCAGAGTGTGGGTTATATTCTTCAGGTAGTTGAATGCTCCGGGCGAGTGCTTCCGTATCCGAAGCCATCCTGACTAATTTTGGCAATGGTAAAGATATAATGTCCCAATTTAGAGACTAGAATGTACTTTCTTTCCTGATAGTTTAGATTAAACAACGAATGCAGAATCCTCTACATTGCTTACTCTCCATATTCTACTCTGATTGTACGACACAGGATGCCTAGACTGGCATTGTATGGCCTACTATCGAGCATTAATCTACTGAATGTTCTTCATTCAGACATTGTTACTATGCTTTCCAATCAATCGTTTCATCTGGATATAATCAGTAGGCTAATCATAATAACCTCTCTCGATGTTCTTAATATGTTCATTCTTTTGCAAGGCGAGGCTGTGTGGATAGCTATAAGAAACAAACAATGACTGATTCCTAGTAACGCTATATCAAGTGTAGTTCACATCATCACGTATTCATATCAATCCACAATATTACAGAAATACGTTGAAGTAGACACAAGCTTATTACTAAATCCATGGCATAAAGAGCTTTCTTCTACGTTATTCCAGATCAAACGGACGCACAATATTATCTGAAGAGTCGGATTTTGAGATCCGCGTCAAAACAATATACTATTAAAGGTTAACGTCCAACTTTAAGGATCCAAAATAGCCATGTCGAATCACTGTGCCTAGCTTAGATAGTTCAGCAGTGTTAATGCACTAACAGACAGTAAGGCACTGTGACGAGTTTGAAGTCGACACCCAACCGAGAAGTTCGACGTGCGCGCGCAAAGTGCTTGTTCAATGCTCAGATTATATTAACAACACTCATGCTATTAGGCTATTAGTGCAGTATAATTTCTACAAGGTACATCACGCTTGCAAATGACGCCATCCAGTCAGCGTGTTAACAAATTGTCCCTGTTTTTTAATGGCGTATCCAGGGCAGGGGCAAGGATGTATCACTTCTGCAATATCCAAATTTGGCATACTTTAACTAAACTATATAAAACAGAAAAGAAATGTGCCCCTTTTATCGCCCTCATGCAGAACCAGTTATAGACACCAAGAGGCACCGTGTTTGTTCATGTCACCCTCAAATCAATTAACAGCATTCTGTAGATACCAATCTACTTGGATATTTCCTCTCTATTATATTATTTTTGCCATCTTAATATACTCTGCATTGTAGAAAGTACAGGCTAAGAAATTTGCACGCACATCTTCTTTTGATATTGGAGCAAATGGTTAAGGTTGGGTCCGGACATGAAAGGGGCGGGGGTGGGGGGGGGGGGGGGGCTCGTGTCGTTATAGGGCACCGATCTTTGATACTATATAGATGAAGTACAACATGCCAGAGAACCAGGTCATCAAGTAAAGGAGGAGTATGAAGGGGGTCGTAGCATCTTATTGTGGCATTGCTGCCTCCCCCTCTCTCTCTCCCCTCCCTCTCTCTCTCTCTCTCTCTCTCTATCTCTCTCTCTCTCTCTCTCTCTCTCTCTCTCTCTATCTCTCTCTCTCTCTCTCTCTTTCTCTCTCCTGTCATCCGATGGGGGAACATTATCCCGTGCATCTATGGTTTGTCATACACTTGTTAGATCATGCAATATAAACACTACTATTGAAAGTGATGCATCAAATACCTACAGTCCTTTTACTCTTGAGTTATTTTTTGTTATTGATTTGGTTGCTTTAATTGACATTCAATGCGAAAATAACAAAGTATAATACATTTTACAAACGATAAATTTATTGTTTAAAAACTTATCTGGAAATAATTAATACGTTTAACTGAAAAGAAAAAGGACATAATTATTTTAAGGAAATTCAGCAATTTTTAATGACTATTTAGAGTAAAGGATCACAATGTATATGAAAATGGAATATGAAGAATAATGGACTTCAACAAAATTTGGAATCCTGCTCGTTTTTCAGGTTCTTACGATTGGTCTCCACCGTTTTCTAATTTCTATTAAATTCGATGGTTAACTTAAAACAGCATCATAGACCTGCATGTGTTTAAGTTATAGACACTTTCTCTGAAAATGCATTTAACCGACATTATTATAGACAAATTACTTGATTCGATTTATTTTTAACTCCAATAGTTTACCTATGTAGAATAGAGTCAGTCATAATTGTTTCGAGTCATAAAATATTTGGTCGGAATGGGAAGAAATGAATGGAACTGACCTGAAAGCAAATGGTCATGCATGCGTGACTTGTAGATCACTCTGATCTAATTTAATAAGATATGGTTGAGTAAAAATGTAGGTCAGTGATTTGCATCTGAACAAAATAAGAAACAGCATTGTGAATTGCAGCACTCACCCGAACTATAGTTGATGAAGCTTGTTCACGAGTCAATGGCGTTTATAACTGTATCCTGGGCTTTGTTTCTAATATAGGATGGAGTGATAGCGCGCGGGGGGGGGGGGGGGGGGGAGTCAAGATTCAACTTAAAGCAAATCAGTTGAAACATAATCCACAATTTCGGGGAGTCATCAAATATACAAACAATTATAAAAGAAAACAGTCATAAATGAAACTGAAAAAATATAAAAGTCATTGTCAATTGGAAAAAAATACAACGTCAATTTACTGGATTAAAATTAAAGTTTAGTAGCGGTTCATCTACGCTTTGTCTTTAGCCTTGGGGGGGGGGGGTAGCAGATGACCCTTTCTCCTCAAGATTTGCCAATCAAATCAATCTGTTGATTGAAATAAAAGGCGCAATTTTGGATTATCATTAAGGAAAGTACAATAGAAGAACCCAAAACAGATATTAATCGAAACAGAATGACGAATCATCACTAAACAAACAGGAAGGAACGATAGGATATCACAAGAGAACAAATGTATAAAACAGAAATAGATTAACGAATTACGTGACAGTGGTAAATACAACGTCCAAATCGAAATGTATTTCACAAAGTTTATGTTCAGTTTGAAGGGGAAAATTCCCATGTCATTTTTTCAGGAGTGTGATTTCAGAACTTCGGACAATAAAGAACGATAAGACCTGAAGGAAGAGAATTGAAGCTTGAATTCGTCGGGGCGGGGGGGGGGGGGGGGGGGGGGGGTAAGGGCCATTTCTTCCCCTCCCAACCTGCCTATGTATATTATGTATGTATGTTATATTACCCTTCATCCAATTTTTGCTTTATTGAAATAGGGGTTTTTCTAATGATGTTGCCATGTTTAATTTTTTCCTTTTTTTTTTTTTTTATCTTTGCCTGTTATCGTCAGGTTTATCTATATCAGTCATCGAAGTGAAACTCAGTCATTCCTATTGACGCTTGCGTTACTTCGTACTATCGGCTTCAACAGGAGAGACTACTGTATGTTTAAATTATAACAGATTTTTCTTTTTCGTGACCTTATCACAAAGTTCAACTTTAAATCTGTCCTTTCACAAGATATATTCGTCTGCGGCAGGGCTTGTCCTACGCACGACTAAAATACAACCAAGATTGGTGAATATATTTAGCAGAGACGGCTGCAGTTAATAAAGAACACATCCGAAATATACTCAAGTAAATTATCGCTAGAGAAGGAGGGAAGGAAGGATCTAAGGAAGGGATGAAGGGGTCCTTCCTACCAGATAAAGGGGTATAGTGTTACCCTCTCCAACAATCAGATTCAAGTCATCTACTCACTACAGACCTAGTTTACGTGATGGGAATATTTGTTAGTATTATTATTATTATCAACTTGTTTTTCATCATCATCATCATCATCTCCATCATCATCATCATTTTTTAAAATTATTATTATCACTATTATCATTATTATTATTATTATCATTATTGTTAATATTGTTATTATTATCATTATTGTTATTATTATTATTATTATCATCATGTAAATCTTACTATTATTACATGTATTAACAAAAAATCAAATAATTCCTCTGGCTCTCAACAGAGAGGTTAAATTATATTACATTGTTATGTTATTTATGTTATTTGTAGTTACTGTCTATGATATGTAATGTATTGTTATATTTATACAAATGTGAGCTGTTAAAACGATTTTTATGCCTTCATTTTATTTTGTGCATGACAATAAAGAAATTCAATTCAATTCAATTCAAAAAACATATCTAAAATGAAACCTATTTAATTCCTGTACACTGCAATTTGTTCACTAATGTTCTGCCTACGACATAATCATTACCGGATCCTTCAATTATGGTCTTAAGAAATGTTCTTCGATGACCAAATGTTCTCTTTTCCCCGAATCCTCGAACGTATTGTTAAGATGATGTCCTGTATTAGTATTAACTTTAGTCGTTTGTCACTGATAAGCATACATATTCCTATTATCTTGCTTTATAATACCCTCTATCATCTGTATACGAGTAAAGCGGCACTCTGACATCATAATGAACTTGCAAATAAGTAGCCCAGTTTCACCTGGCATGGCGCATCGAATCATATACACACACTCTATGAATCATACATCACATGCCTCTATATAGATCGAGGTAGAAGCACTACCGGCCTCTACACGCTCAAAAGGAAATGAAGTAGTGGGGCCACCTCCCCCCTCACCTCCGGCCTCTCGGCCCCCGCCCCCATTATCACAGTTCAAGATTTAAGGCGAGAAATGTCATAAGTGCCGTTCCGAAAAAAGGAGCACATTCATAATTCCACTATGTGTTGATAGACATATTGTTTAAAAGAACTTAATAATGTAATGCGCGGGCTTACGTTTCACTATACATTGTATTGGGTTTTCATTTACGTACTCCAAGAGACTCCCGTGCGTTTATCCATTCAGAAAAAGAAGATTGACTAGCCGATTACATCTTTCCCTATGATAACACTTCAAAGGTGTTGATATTCCGGTAACTATTTTTCATTCAACTTATCTATGATATCAGTACAGTATGTTAATATGTGCGCTGTTTCGCGCTTTTTTTTTCTTACTGCATTTCGATCAAGAAAATAAAATAAAAACACAGTATTCCCAAAAGATAGAAATAATAATGAAAGCAAATCTTCCTAAAGTCAATCAAGCATTTTATCAACAATAACTTTGTTTTAATATATTTTATTTCAATATGATTTGAATCTTTTAGGACATTAAGAAAAAAAGCAAACAGCACATAAATGAAAGAATTTTGATCAATGAAAGACATATTATAAAATAATTATTCACTAGATAAGTTGACCAGACAGTTAAAGATCTCTGTGACCTGACTGACACATGACTGACACATAGAGGGCGCTTATTAAGAATCATCAAGAACCATGGTTGACACAGACCCAGCCAGTTATTTATAAAAGATTTCATTTCATTAATAACGTACAGTAGAACTCTTCAGGGGCGGATCTAGGGGAGGGGGTTTCAGGGTTTAAACACCCCCCTTGGGCGGCCAAGTGAAAAAAGGGGAGGGGAAGAAAAAAAAAGGGAGGGGGTAGAATAAAAAAAAATGGGGGGGGGGGGGGGAGAAGGGGAAAAATAAAACAGTAAAACGGCGCGATTTTTGGAAAATCCTGGATCCGCCACTGGGTCAAACACCCCCCGTGGCAAAAAGCTAGATCCGCCCCTGCTCTTCTATAAAGTACCAATGTTACATGCATATATCTGTAATTGTTTAAGAGGGACTGTTGTTATCTGTAATAGATGACTGAAACAAATTAATACCAAAGTAACGAAATTATATATTAATATGATTGAATCTCATTTATTTCCTGATATTTTTATTTACATCGATAAAGCAGAATCATTTCATTGTATACAATGTGATTAATCATTATATTTAGCAGAACCATTCAGATATATTATTATTTACAAATCAAAGCGCATAGTGGTGTATTGTGAGCTCAATCATAATTCACTGCTTTGCTGTGTCCTAAGAAAAATATAATGAATATCATTACTTGACCATATTATCACTATCATTGAGAAGCTGTTGTGATTGGTTAATTCAAACCGCTGACATATTTCTATCCTTCGTTCTTTCAAGATAGACCCTTTAAATCAACCATTGTCTATGACCAGCTGTATTCGTTTAACCCTGTGCAAACAAGCACTGGTTCACTGTCAAGCAAAGTATTAATGGAATAATAGAATGAGTTTGTAGCCAGATACCAGGAGCAGTAATAAGAATGTGGTTTGATATTCATGGAATATCTTCTCTCAAAAATAACACTAAAAGTTGACTTTCATAAATGTCCAGGATAATGATCTTCAACTGACTTGAAATCTGTAAAATGTCATGGTTGTATAATATAAAAAGTATTGAGCAGCCATAGTGATTGATTTAATCTTCTGATCCCATTATAAAACCAACAACGATAGGATATCTTTTGAATGATAAACGTATGAATGAGGTAGACGATGTCAACATTTTGTTTGACAGATTATGTCAGCCTTACAAACGGAAATAAAGACCTGCATCTCAATCTCTTACATAACAGCTCTCCATCAATACGTTAATTCACTCGCCCAAAGACACTTTATCTTGATGCCTTATCACATTTGTTTTACACATCAATTATGGCTCTTATGTATACTGATCGGTAAATGATGTTACATAAATTTATTTTATCAAGCACAGAAAATTATTACACGAGATGATAATTAAACGTGTGTGTCTCAGAATCGAATAATGACACGGAAGGGTCAAATTTCAATTAGACCACTGAAATAAATTAATTGTTTCGTTATTATGCGAAACATTTAGATCACTTACATTTATGATTGGCCAACAATGGTCAGTTCAGACCAGTACTAATGACATCAATTGAAATTGAGCGGTCATTTTCTAGAAACCGATTTGACAGGTTTGAGAAAGTTTAAATCTATGTGAATGCAAAAGCAAATCACTTAAACTACTTTACATTTTCTGTCTTTTATTGACGTTTATGAGTTTCAGATACTCTCTTGATTGCAGTTAACTGGTCTTTTAATAAGACCATGCATCGAGAATGTCGACTGAAGAAGGCTGTTACAATAAAGGTTAAGAGAAGAGATGCAGACATAGGATATTGGAAAAGAAGAAAATAAAGACGGGGAGACGGACAATTTTTGTTATAAAAGGTAAGAAGAAAGAGCTAAAGATACAATTCTGTATAGAAAGAATTAGAGAGAAGAAGTAGGAGAGAGAGAGAGAAGAAGAAGAAGAAGAAGAAAAGAAGAACAAGAAGGAGGAGGAGGAGAAGAAGAAGAAGAAGAAGAAAAGAAGAACAAGAAGGAGGAGGAGGAGAAGAAATAAAGAGAGCCAGATAAAGAAAGGGCAGATGTGAAATCACTCTTGGTGTTTAGAAAGAGATAAGGCGTATATTTCTTCAAATCTTTGAAGCTGGTTCCAACATTTTATACCAATTCTGAGCTGCGGCATCTCCGATACCCCCACCAAAGCGATCTGTCACGCGCTTACTGGTTCCCTCATTCGTTCCATAACGAAGGGCAGGATCTTCAGCTTTGATACAGTCGATTATGACGTCAGCAATCTCGTCACTTGTTTGAGCCGCTGACTTCATGTGTGGCATCATTGCTGCTATTGCGCCTGTGAACAACTACATACAGAAATCAATCGTTGAATACAAGTATCCTCATATCAAAACATTAACCACTATTATTACAAATTAAAAAAAAAACTTTGATGGTAAAGAAATTGTTT